AGGGACGAGGCCATTGAGAACGTCCAGCACAGTACTTCCATTTCCACTGCAATAGATGGCGAAAATACCTTTCGAAAACGGATCTGCGCTTGTATTTCGCGTTATATTTTCAGCATACTATGAAACTTTAGGCAAGAATTTCGGAGAAGACTGCATATGGAGGTCCTTAAATTTGTTTGAAGAACCGACCATCAAATAAATATTCGAAACAATTCGCCTTTATGTTAAAGATAAATGGCAAAACTACATGAGATTTTTATGTTGCTTAGAAGAATTATCAGTTAGCTTCTAAAAGACAGTAGCGCTGGTACAAAAATTACAGAATAAATCATTAACTGATCATAATGCTTCCTTCAATAGACTCAATCTGTTTTCTTCTCATGCGGAACTCATGGAAAGTTTCGAAATACAAATCGATTCCTCGGTGTCTTACATATCTAATCGAATCGTTGTAGAATTGCAGGTGAGCTATGACAGCCGCGATTCTTCGCTGATTATCATCCATTCCATGTGACGGACATGTTCTGCCAGTTAAGGCATAAAATATTTCTGAGTATGCGAGTAAGGTCATACATAAAAATTACTGAATTGACGAGGCGCTATGAATAAATTCTGAAACAAAGTCGACATCTAAATGTCAATTTAAAAAATTTTGTTACTGCAAGATAAGTAGAAACTTTTGTTTGTTCGTACCTGCTAATCATTTTATTACTGTATATATTTCGAATTTGGAAGATGAGCAACGGCCAGTCGTTTTCGTTATACATGGCTTCATTGCAGCATTTTGAATGCTTCAGTTCTGAAAGCAAAAAAAAATCTGGCATTCATTCTTTTTCGTTTTTTGTCCTGAACAAAACAACGGTTTTAAGAATAACAGGAAAATTATGACAAGCCGAATTCCAGTAATCGTAGCAGTCAGTTGTTCTCATCTAGCGAAACATTTTTCGAAATAACACAAGGACTATAATAATTGTCTGCTTTTTTGAAATTCATTCGTTTTGACGTTTGACAGGTTAAACGGTTCGTATTAAAAATTTGCAGAAATTTGAATTTATATTTTTAAAATCAACTAGAGATTTTAACGCCTTAATACTTTGGTCAAACTATTTCCGTGAGTCGCTTTCTGTTGCTTTGTTTCACGATTTTATCTACTAAGCATATTGTCCAAAAATAAAATTTTCAAAATTATTTGAAAAATTAGAAATTGAAGTCAGCTAACTAGTTCTTTTTTCTCAACGACTTTCGACAACATTTACATGTTAATCGACACGAGTTGAAGTGTTTTGACAGTATTCATGAATGAAACAAACATGAGGAGTGAGCAGGTTGTCAAAAAAACCAATGTGCTCCACTCATCTTTGGTGATAAGAAAAGTTTAACAGTAGCTCAAAAATATTTGGTGTAGCATCCCTAAGATACAGCCCTTCCTTGCGGTCATAATGGTTGGATATTGACCAAGAAGCACGATTGCATAAAAAATGAATAAAAATTAGAATCACCTAAAATAGCCACTGAGACGAGATCAGATAAGATTCAAAGCACAGCAGTCTGAAACAGCCCCAGTTGTGAGCCACTCTTTTATTCGAAAGAAAAGTCACAGCTTCGATGGTTATGCGCATAGGGAGACAAAGAGGACGCCAAAATTACAAGTAGGCAATTCAGTAGTGGCACAACGAGAACATATGGATGAAGTACCTGGTACCCTCAGAACAAAACTGACGATCGTCGTTCACTGCTGGAATTTGAAAACCATTGGAAGATCCAGTAAATCTGAACACTGAAACATAAGCACCGTGCGACATATTAAAATGAATGGATAAAACTCATTTTGTGAGTCGAAGAACCTACCGCACAAAGCTAAGAATTTTAAATATCGTTTCGTATTTTATAAACCGTTGGCTTAACTGAAATCTTTAACTTTAGACTGAAGACATCATTCCTGATCAATTCCAATAGTTCGAAATAGATGTTTTGTACAAAGGAAAATACCTGTCTAGCCGAACAGTCCAACGATAAAACGATGCCGTTGCTCTGGTTGCGACTGCTAAAAACGATTGTACCAATGGACAGCACTTGTTCAAGTAGGTAATGCGGAACATGAACCTGCCGGAAAACTTCTGACTAAGAGAGCGTATTTGTGACACAAAGACGTAAATTGGAAGCGAGCTTTCTGGGCCGTGCATACTTTTATATGTAAGTGTCACGGCATTTATATAAAATTATTTTGTGAGTTACAGTATTAAATAATTTGACCGAATCGTCTTCTGACATGCTTTAATACATGCTCTCACGTCATATCTACAAATTTCAATTAAAGATAATTCAGATTCTCAAATTCTAAATCTAGCAAACGATTAATAGCTTACAACTATTTCACCGTGCAAACAAAGTAAAGTAGTCTCTCATCAAAGAATTAATCTAAGTGCAACAACGGACCTCAATTCAAGGAAAAATTTTATTTAATGGTTTTACACACAATTGGAGTGATTCAAAGCTGTATCGTTACGAAAAACATTTATTTCGAAGTAAACAACAACAAGAATCAAATGATAAAGGTTCATTCGAATTTTATCTTTTTGCTTTCTGAATGTCCACCTTCATCAAAGCTTCTGGAAGCACCTCCTCCACGGCCGCCGAATCCGCCTCTTCCGAAGCCGCGGCCACTTCCACGACCTCTGCCACTACTTCCTTCGTTAAATGAACGACTACCTACAGAAAAAACAAATGGACATCAATTATCACTGTGGAAAACATTTTTGTAATGTTGCTGTATAAATAACAACGTGTACATTACAGGATTGAATTAAGCCTTTCCCATTTACCTTTGTGCAGGAGCACGTTTGCTGATCAACTCTTTATAATCCTTCTTTATAAGGAATAAAACAATATCAGTTCAGTTTCGATGAACAATTTAAATAATTCACTCAGACTTTTATTCGGCTGGCATTTTGCAGCTGCCAAATAAGTTATTTATAAACCATATATGTTAATAATACGAACAACCAAATTACGATATAGCCAAAACGTGCTTAACGATGCTCCAGAATTCGCGGAAGACGCATTTCACAGACATAGTCTCACTAATTCATGGTTAATTTCGACGGCA